GCTATGTGGAGCAGTAACCAGCTCTTGGAGGGGAGGGGCAGTGCCAACGCTGTGGCCAATCAGAGTTGGATTGTTGCTAGATCAGACAAAGTGTGTGAGACAATTGGCCTTAAGAGCTTAAAATGGCTCAGACTGAAAAAAAAAAATCTGCAAACTGAATATTTATTTATTTGGTTAAACAAGTCAACATGTCACTACAATTAAAAAAAACTTATCGGTTTTTATACAATATAAAAGACAAATATCAGGTTGGGAGCTCAAGTTTTCCATTCTTCAACATTTGTATTAATGGATAAGTGATAGGAATCATAATCAAATCTTTCAAATTTGAAATATGTTGATAGGAAACAAAAATTAGATGAAAGTAACAGGTTCATATTTAATGCAGATAAATATTCTTTTATTTGTTTGGGCAACAAAATCAGAATGGGGGGATCAAATTCACATTGAGGGAATAGGGCAGCAATATTTAAGATCTTGGAATAGCATTTGATTACAAATGGACTATGAGGGTAAAAAAAGTTGACAGTGGAATCAACTACAATGGTTTGGAATCTTCTTCATTGAATATTTTCAAGAGGAAACTAGACATCCATGATCTTTTCCACATTTTGTGATCCAAAAATTACCCAATCTAGCTAGATAAACAACCTGGAAGCAAAGCAGAGTTGAAAACTCTATAGGAGAACAAAATAAATGTCAAACAATAGAGTATGTCCTTGAGGCTGAGGTGGAATCATTTCCATCTGTTAGTTCTACCAACTGTGTAAAGACTCTAAGTAGAACATATTCTTCGCATTTAAAAAAAAAAAAAAAAACAGGTTTCCAGGGAGGTTAAAGAGGTATGGGAAAGAAGAACTGGAAAAGACCACAATTAGCAGCCTTCCCTAAATTCCATGCTTGCAAATTCCATGGCTGGTATTTCAAGGGGTTCAGCACATCTGGGAGCACAGGGTTGAGGAAGGCTGCAATTTGCTTTTAAAGCTTTGTACCAGTTATTTGGCTGACTACTCAGCACGTAGCAAACCAATGAGCTAGCTGTTCTAATGTAACAAGTCTTCAAAACAACCATAAACTATTAATATAAAAACCACCATCACAAGAAATTGTAGGGTTTTTTTAACTAGACCCTTATTATTTTTGTTAGATTGTTTTTCTACCTTTGACTCACCCAACATCATTAAATGAGTTTCCATAACTGAGAGTGGACCTGCCTTCTCTGATACCAGTTCAACCCCCTATAACTACTAGATCCTGCTGAGTGTTATCATATCTTTTCAAATGGTCTAGTTTACAGGTGTCAAACTCGCCACACCATGTGATGTGTTGTAACGTATCACAACTTTTTTCTGGGGTGGGCTGGTCTCTGCGTGCTGCAACCGGCCTGTGGGCCCAGCAGTTTGACACCCCTGGTCTAGTGAAAAGAGTATTTGAGTACTTGAGGGGGGGTTGCCACAAAGAACAGGGGGTCAACTTATTTTCCAAAGCACCAGAAGGGAAGACAAGAAAGTATGGATGGAAACTAATCAAGGAGAGAAGCAACCTGGAATGAAGGAGAAACTTCATAACAGTGAGGACAATTAACCAGTGGAACAGCTTGCCTCCGGAAATCGTGGGCGCTCCATCACTGGAGGTTTTTAAGAAGAGACTGGACAGCCAGTTGTCTGAAATGGTGTAAGTTCTCCTGCTTGAGCAGGAGGTTGGACTAGAAGATCTCCAAGGTCCCTTCCAGCTCTATTCTGAATGTGTCAAAACTGTCCTCCAGCACATGCTAGATTGCAGCATCACTGCCATCTTCTCTCTCCCTCTCCAGCTTCAGCTGCCATCCTTTCTGCCTTCCTCAGCACATTTTTTTCAGGGCTGCAAATCAGGCTGGCAGAAGAAGGGCAATGGCTAATCGGATCCGGAGGTTTCTTCTAATCCCGCTCTATCCACTGCACTCGGCTTTCCCTTCCCCTCTCTCCAATATCACTAATGCCTTCTCTATTGGCTGCATTAGACAGATGTTTGAAAACTCCCTCTTTGGCTAAATCTGATCTCTCTGTAATACTTTCACTGCTATTAAAGCCGCAAGCTTGCTCTCTATCTCCCCACCCTCTGTTATTACATTCCCAAATGGACTTGGGAGAGGTTAGATCGCCTTTTCCAGGGCAGAAGAAGATCTGCTGGAAAAACAATGAGATTTCCTCCCCCTCCCCCACACCCCACTCCCATCCACCACCCCTTTGGCTCCATCTGTTGATATCTTAGAGAACACTTTCAAAGGCGCAACGACTGGATATGAGGAGGCCTTCTGCTTTTTTTTGAAGGGTCACCATTTCGGTGCAAGATTAAACCCAAAGTTAGGTATCGTCTCTCCTTCAGCTTATTTTTAAAAGCAATTCTGAAAGAAGGTCATTTGAATGGCACCTTTTAGAGCACTGTTCCTATAGCAGAGGAGTTGGACAAAGTTCCTCCCAGCGGAGCTGGGCAGGAAAAAAGGAGAAGCAGCCGTCCCCAACTCTATGGTCTCCTGATGGCTTGTGCTAAAACTTCCATCCTTCCCAGCCAGCCAAAGAGGTTCTTATTATGCCAGCGCAATAATGGTAGAGGACCGTGAAGACTGTGGTTCAAACCATCCAGAAGGCATCAGATCCGGAGAGGCTGGAACGTACATTGCGTGATCTGCTCTTCGTGAAACGAATAGATCTATTCTAGAGGAATCCACCCCTCCCTTCTCGCCAGTTGCTCAACCACTCTCTTTCGTATCCACCTCGACCAACCCCCCCTCTTTCCTCCCCCCGCCTTCGGGAGCCCCCGCATCTCACCGGAAGCCAAGGCAGCCCCCTCGCGGTGAGAAGGTCGCCTTCCCCGCGGAGCTAGACCCGTTCCGCCCGGCAACCAGCTTGGCTCAGGACTCCTGAGCCCTCAGCGTTTGGAGATGCTTCTGTCCCAGCTCCGAGCGCGATTGTCCCCAGCCTCGGCGCACACTGAAAACAGGCTCTTTGAAAGGAGGGGGAGAGAAAAGGGGGGAGGGTGAAGGGATGAATTGGGGTGATTTACCACTAAAGCGGGGGCTGCGGGAGGCAGAGCGGCAGGGTAAAAGTCATTCCCCAAAAAAACCCCTTTTTATTCTGCACATCAGATAAAGAGAGAAGAAATAGTGGGTGGGCGGGTGGTAAGGCAGATGGGACTTTTTCCCTCTTCGCAGTCCCGCTGATTGCCCTTGCCCAACGACGGCAGACGTTCCAAATCAGACTCAGCATCGGAACAGCTGCAAATAATGCCTTGTTTTGTATCCACCAATAAAGGATTGTAAAGCCCCCAATGATTTTATCCCCTCGGACGATTCGTGTTTGGCGACGGCAAGGAAACTTTTGGGGCACTTGGAAGTTGGATGGCGCAGATTCTAAGGGGGGGGGACTAGATTTGGGGGGAGGGGACTGATTGTCTATCTACCCACACGCACACACATATAAAGCCACACACACGTGTATTTGTATGTCCATTTGCATCCCAAGTCGGAGCAAAGAAAGTTGTAAGGCTTTGCTTTGGTGAACAAGAGGGTCACTTCCCCTGTAATCATGTCAGATCGCCTGTTGAGAATGGAGGGGTGGGGTGGGGGGGCTGCCTCTTAATTCCACACCATTCCGGGTCTTTGTATCCGAACAGCAGGTGCGTTTGGAGGTCACTAATTGATCAATGGATCTTCCTCCTCCTGCGCCTATCCAGCCCTCCCACTGCGAGCGAGAAATCGGGGTATGTGATTTAAGCTTGAGAACTGGAAAGAGCCAAACTACTCTGAGGCCACCTCTTAATTTTTAATTTCGAATTGTTCTGTTATCTTTGTGGAAGGAGGAGCGCCTATGGCTTTAGTTGTGCTTGCACAGCACCAAAAAAAAAAAAAAAAAAAAAAAAATCATCCATGGGAACCAGTTCGGGTGTGATTCTTTTCGGCATCCTATGTACAACCTGGTGCCTTGCTTATTTACAAATACCTCTGAATAAGTCTTTAATAATTACAGTAATAATAATGAAATAAAAGCTTCTCCTTTGTTTCCAGCTACCACGTATGGCTCCATCTGCATCACAGAAACGAATAATCTCGGTTGGTTCAATCCTTAATCCATTTTCTTTCTCCCCCTCCCTCATTTTTTTCCAGGGAAACTAAGCCTGGAGGGGGAAAAATTAATACCCCTCAAACAAGGCACCGGTTCTGCCGCCTCCTCCCTTTCCTTAAAAAAATAAATAAATAAAGATTGCTTCGCTTTAAATAGCTGCCCTTTCCATACCCCTTTACCGCTCACTGCAGATAGTTTTGTAAAGGAAAATAAATAAATAAATAAAGGAAATCGACAATTCCCTAAATCTTCAGCTATTTTTACTATGTTAGACTTGGAACCTCCAGATCATTCTAAGAGCGAGAACGGAAACCTCGACTGGGCAAGACCCGTTTTTTTCCGACCGGTCTATATTCCTGGACAACATGTCCCATCGCCTGGGGATGCGTGTGGGATGGAAGATGCAGTCCCAGCGGTCTGGGAGTGTCAGCTTTCTTCTTGCTATCTAGTGTGGAACTCGCTCGCTTTCGGTCTCGTTGTCCTGAAGTTGTTTTTGCCACGCCGCCGCCTTTCCCGGGACAGAAGAAGCCGAGGCGGCAAAGGATGCTTTAGCCATAGGACCTGGAGTCCCTTAGCGCGCCTCCAAGCCTGGTTGCCGCCTGTCAAGAATTCGTGGCTGGGGGATTTGGAGTGCCTACTTCCCTGCGGAAAAAACCCTTTCTCCCTCCCGCCCCGCCTCCAAGAACCCTTTTCCCTTGGAACGGGCAAAAACGTCTCCTCTCCCTTTCAAATGACTGTTTTCTCTCTCTCTCTCTCTCTCTCTCTTGTTAAAAGACCCGCAGTCATTTGTTGTACGTATATAGCCACCTGTGTGTACATGCCTACGCGTGTCTACACTTAGGTGGGATGCAGGAAGCCTGCTTCCCAATTCACGTCTTATTAAAAAAAAAGATGAAAGAATACATTAAGGAGTCGTTGTTGTTTTTTTCTAGCCAACTTCCCTTCCCCAAGTATTTTTCGTGGTTACCACCACCGTCACTGCTATTTCAACAACTAAAGGCTGGGGTTTCTTTCTTGAAGTGGGCTCCTGTTAGGGAGAACTCGGCTTGACTTGGATTGAGCGAAATAAAATGTCGACTTTTCTTTCTTTCGTTTCCTCAATAGAATCCATTCAGAGCACGCTGTTTGGGACGCTGAGAGAAGGGGAACACCAGTCGGAGGACATAATTGGAGTGCTTCCCCCGGGTTCCACTTTGAGTCCGAGAGTTGCACTTTTTTGGCAGGGTTGAATCCCCGAATTAAGTCGGCACAAGGCGATGGAAATGGGGGGGAATCACCGTTGGCCTGCATCACGGTTCCGTCTTCCTTTAAGCAGAACAATAATAATAATAGAGCAGAAGCGAACGTGAAGAACCTGAAACAAATTTTTAAACAAATCGTCATATGTAAAAAAAAAAAAAAAAAAAAAAGGGAGGGGGGAGCAAATTGAAATAAACGCCGTGGTCAAGCTGAAAAATCTTAGACCCGCAAAGGGCCTTTTACCTTCAGACGACCTCCATAATAAAGCGTGATAGCCGGGGCTTTTGGCAAAGAAGATCTGAAAGGAGCTCCCAAGCGAGACCTAAGCTAATTTCATTAATCTGTGACTTTTCTGTTATGACTTTAACCCGGAATCTTTCCCTCCCATCCTCTGGTTAATCCCCGCGCCTGGAAGAAACACCCCCAACGCCCACTCTTCTTGACTGAGCCTTTGAGACGCAGTCCCCACGTTTGGTGAATCTCGAAGTTAACAATCTGGAAGCCGGAGGGACTTACTCCGAGAACTCAGAGAAGTAACAGGGTCAGACGTCGTTTTCGTTCCGGAGCAAAACCCAACGACTTTCTCAAGATTTCGCCTTCCGGGAATCAGGAATACGGCCGCCACGGCCCTAGCTTTGCTCGCAATACTCTCCGTCTCCCTTAGATTTTGCTTCCCCCCCCCCCTTTAACAGAAATCCAGATAAGGCTGCCCAATTCCCGCCCGCAACCCTAGAAGGAGATTCTGTTTTGCGGAGAGGGGTGGGGAAGGGGCAGAGATCTTCTGGCAAGGATTTATTTTGGGAAGGTGGCACAAAGTCTATAACAGATGCCCATTCGCCGACAGCCAAGCGCCTGCTCTTCCCGCTCGGCTCCTTCCTCCCAATAATGTCAAATTGACTTAAGTGCTGGTTCATCTGCGTTTCTCTTTGTCCACACCGGTTGTAAATTAGGGTTTCGAGATTAGCTAATTAAGGTGCATTAATCACGGCTAGAAAGAGAATGAATCAAAATCCCTGCTCCAAATTTACAAACTCACTTGGCCCTCCCCGCTCTTCCAACACCCCCCCCCCCCCAGAAGGGAGAACTGCTGACTCTCCCGACGAGGCTTGAAGGGCTGCCAGCTGAAAAACCGCCCTTATTCGCACCATCAGACTATCACAATCGCCGCCCCCGCCGCCGCAGAATACCTGTACCAGTTGCGCGGCTAAAAATCACCGCGAAAGGAGAGGGGAGAAAGCATTTTATAGGATCGGGGGGAAAAAAACACCAGAAAACCAATGGGAAGGAAAGGGGAAAGGAAAGGAATGGGGAAAGGAAAGGATTCAATCTGCTTGTCGCGTTGTCCCTGCTTCTTACAATTCGCCTCCTCTCCGTCCCAATCCTGCTTTCCTTAAACTGACAGACAGATCCCTTTTCCTTTAAGAAGCAAGACCACCACCCTCTCCATTAGACGCCCCCCCTCCCCATTCTTGTAGCCTTCCGTCTCCCTTCCCGTCCTCCCCCCCTCCTCTCCCAGTCAGGCGTCTATATCCGATTTGTGAGGCCGCGGCTGAAGGGGCAAAAAGACACGGACTTCTTCCTGCTCAGTTTTGTGGACGGGGGTCCGCCCCCTCTGGTTCGGAATCTGAGCCCAGCTCACAGTTTGGCCAGAGAACTCCCCCGTCCCCGATCATCATCATCCCCTTACAACAGAGCCAACAATCCTAGACGCTTAAAAAGGCAACCTCCGCTCTCCCCCCCCCTCCCCAATTCTCCGCCGTTAAATTAAGCCCGGTGTGGCGGAGGGAATACGCCTCTGCTCTCTTCTCGCCCGCCCTCCCCCCAATGCCCTCTCCGCCCGAGTCAGTTCTCTCGGCAGCCTCCATGCGCAGCTCTTCTGGAGCAGCCGACGAAGACGAGAGGAGCCAAGGCGAGGGGCTGCAGCCGGACCCCCACGCGGGCGCCGTCAGTCACCCCCCCCCCTTCATCCCCAGCCCTCCGGGCGGCAGCACAAAGCCAGCGGTTCCCCTGCGTTTGGCTAGGCAGCAGCCCCGCTAAGTGCAGGTGGCTCAGTCTCTGAATGCCCAGCCCGCTGAAAAGCCCAGCCGGCCCCCCGCTCCACCTGCTGCCCCCGCCCCTCCTTCCTTTCTTTTGGTCAAGAACCTCATAATTAATTTTAAGTTAGTCAAGGTACGGTATCATTAAAAACGGGGCTGGCAAAACAGAGTCGGAGACACGAGGAGGAGGAGGGGATGAGTGTGGGTGTAAGTGGCTGGAATACACAAGAGGGGAAGTGAAGGGGGGGCTTTAAAAAAAGACAAGAGGGTTGATTTGCATAAAGCTTTGTCTTTTTTAGCGCCTGTAGCGCTGCCAAGGGTTATAACGCTAATTGCGCAAGATCAATGGGACTATTGTAGTCCACGGATTTCTAGGATTTTATTTTATTTTTTCAAATGGCTCTGTGTGAGTGTGTATGTGTGTGTGTGGGGGGGGAGGAATGGGAGAACGACCCCAAGTTGTAAAATCCCAGATGTGGGTGATAGGGACGAACTCTTTCTGCCATAATAGCTCTCACGTTCGTATTAAAAGAACCAGGTGTTTAAAATGGGCTTCTACCACTAAAAGAAGCGACCTTCTCCCACCCACGCCAACAGACTCAGGACGTATTAACCTTGTTTTAGATTAGACGGGTATTGGTGGTGGTTACAAACATGTGTGACAGTGCCTCTCAGCGGCTGGAATAGGTATTTCAGAGAGTCAGCGGATACTTTGGAGAAGCAATCGTAGCGCGGGACTCTGCTGCCCCTTAGTGGACAGAGAAGAAAACGAACCATTCCCTGTGGCAAAGAAAAGATGTGGGAGCCAGATTGTGAAATTGCTCTCCACCAAGGAGAATAGAATAGAATAGAACAGAATAGAATAGAATAGAATAGAACCTTGGAGGTCTTCTAGTCCAGCCCCCTGTTCAAGCAGGAAAACCTATACCATCTCACACAAGTGACTGTCTAGCTCTTCTTAAAAATCTCCAGTTATGGAGCACCCATGATTTCTGGAGGCAAGCTGTTCCACTGGTTAATTGTCCTCACTGTCAGGAAGTTTCTCCTTAATTCCAGGTTGCTTCTATCTTTGGTCAGTTTCCAACCACTGTTTCTTGTCCTGCCCTCTGGTGCTCTGGTGAATAACGTGACCCCTTCTTCTTTGTGGCAGCCTCTCAAATACTGCTATCATGTCTCTCCTATTTCTTCTTTTCTTTAGGCTAGCCCAGGGGTAGGCAACCCAAAACACTCAAAGAGCCACTTGAACCCGTTTCCCACCAAAAACAAAACACCGGGAGCCGCAAAACCCTTTTGATATCTAAAATGAAGATAACACTGCATATATTCTTTTTTATCTTTATTATAGGTGTGTGTTTGTGTGTGTGAGAGAGAGAAAGAGAGAGAGAGAGAGAGTTTGTGTATGTGTGTGTGTGTACACACACACACACACACATACACACACACACACGTTAAAAATAAAAGTAAAAATATGACTCTTGGGAATATCCATACTATTAAAACAATGATCACCGAGAGAATGCTTTAAGAGAATAAAATTACATACACACACAGGTAAAAAAAGGATATATGCAGTGTTATCTTCATTTTAGATGTCAAAAGGGTCTCTCTCTCTGTGTCTCTCTCCCTCTTCCCCCACTCTCTTTCTTTCTCTCTCTTTTCTCTCTCTCTTTCCCCCTCCCTCTCTCTCTCTCTCTTTCTCTCTCTCTCTTTCTCCCCCCCCCATCTGCTGCTCACCTGGCAAGCTTCAAGTTGTTCTCCAACAATCTCAGGGGTAGGCAACCTCGTGTCTTTTATGACTCATGGACTTCAACTCCCAGAATTCCTGAGTCAGCCTAGCTGGGCTAGCTAGCTCTCTCCTGCCCTTCCTGCTTCCTGCAGAGACGCAGCAAAGGGAGGAGCTCCGCCCAGAAAGCTTTTCAGCTCCTCGGAGAACAATGTGAGTGCACTCTCTTTTACACATATATACACACACACACACACACACACACACACACACACAACACACACACACACACACACAGAGAGAGAAAGAGAGAAGCAGGGAAGCGCAATTGCCTCTCTCTGTCTCTGTCTCTCTCTGCAAAGGCAGAGGAGGCTGGGAGCCACAAGGGAAGGCTCAAAGAGCCGCATGCGGCTCCGGAGCCGCAGGTTGCCGACCTGTGGGCTAGCCAGACCCAAGTCCTGCAGCCGTTCTTTGTATGTTTTAGTCTCCGGTCCTTTGATCATCTCAGTTGCTCTTCTCTGAATTTTTTCCAAACTCTCAACATCTTTTTTGTGATATGGTGACCAAAATTGGCTGCAGTATTCCAGGTGTGGTCTTACTAGGGTTTTATAAAACGGTACTAATATTTGGTGTGATCTTGATTCTATGCTTCTGTTTATACTCAGGATTGTATTAGTTTTTTTGGCTGCTGCTGCACGCTGCTAGCTCATGGTTAAGTGATCATCCACTCCAATGTTCTTCTCACAGTTACTGTTTTTAAGCCAAGTCTCACCCAGTCTGTACTTCTACTTTTGATTTTCCCTGCCTAAATGTAGAACTTGGCTTTTCTCCACATTGAAACTTATTTTGTTGGATAGGGCCCATTGTTCAAGTTTGTCAAGATCTTTTTGGATCCTGGAGTGTTGGGTACTCCTGCTAGTTTGGTGTCATCTGCAAATTTGATGAGTTCTCCTTCAATTCCCTCATCTAAGTCATTTATGAAGATATTGAAGAGTACGGGGCCTAAGACGGAACCTTGTGGCACCCCACTGCTTACTTCTCTCCATGTGGATGTAGTGCCATTGAGGTCTACTTGAGTACGGTTTGCCAGCCAGCTATAGATCCATCTGGTGGTAATGTTGTCTATTCCACCTTTTTCTAGCTTACCAAGGAGTAGGTTGTAGTCTACCTTATCAAATGTCTTACTGAAGTCTAAGTATACTACGTCCACAATATTTCACTGGTCTATTAGTTTAGTCACTTTATGAAGAATGAAATAAGATTGGTTTGGCATGATCTGTTTTTAACAAACCCATGCTGGTTAGTAGTTATAACTTTGTTTGCTTCTAGTTGTTCGCAGATCTGTTTTTTGATTATCTTTTCCCAGGTATTGATGTTAGACTGATTGGTCTGTAGTTTCCTGGGTCTGTTTTTTTTTCCTTTCTTAAAGATGGGAACCCCATCTTTAGGTATTTCCCCAGTGCTCCAGGATTTTTGAAAGATATAGTGCAATGTTTCTGAGATAACATCTGCCAGCTCCTTCAGAATCTGGAATGTAGTCTGTTGGGTCCTGGTGATTTATATTCATCAAGGTCGGATAGTGTTTTCTTACCATTTTCTTGCTTATTTTAATTTTTGTTTCTAGTTTGTTTTTTGCAGTATTTTTTGGGGGGTATGTTGGGCTATAGTTTCTTTTTATGTGAAGACTGATGCAAAGTATGAGTTAAGCAGCTCTGCTTTCTCCCTGTTGCCTCTAATTACCTTGCCATCTTTTCTCTTTACTGGACCTATAGTTTCCTGGGGGGCTTATGGAGCTAAGACTGAATGTGTTTCAGCATAGATGGCCACCACAAAATTGTACATTGGCTCCTGGCTGGCCTGGGCCAGGGCCAAGGCAGAGAAGGCCATTCCCTCACTGTTTCCAGGATGGCTTCGCGGGCCACATGAAACCACTTCGCGGGCCGCATCCGGCCCCTGGGCCTTGTGTTTGACATGTCTTTTCCTAGACTCTCTTGTTACCTGCCTTCCATTTCAACTTCTCTCCAAACTTTCCAAAAGGAGAGCTCTCCTCAACTATTTTATTTGGGGAAGAAGGGGGGTAGGTTTGTGCTAGCCCACCTTAATAATATTTGGAAATCTATTTCTACTTTATATGTGAAAGACCCTTCACTGCAGTTGGATATTGAAGTCACTGTCATTGCTTATTCATCCATTCCATGTTTGTCAGATTCAATTATTGCTATCCCCTGCAAGTGAGTAATTACTCAAAAACCATTTCAGTTACCTCACTCCTAGAC